TCAGTTTTTTAACATGCATTGTTAATTCCTTTAGACTGCACAATCTGACATCTTCCTTGATGGCTTTTCTTTTAAATACACTTTGATATATACAGGAAAATATTCATTTAATATAGAGATTTGATGGAAATAAGATGTGGAAATATTAAAGAACTTTCACTTACTTGATTTCATAGCTTTATTTATTGGTTGCAGTATGCAGTGGCAAACCACCTAATTGAGAACAATGGTTAAAATATTTTAAAAGAATTTCTTTCATTATTAGAGGGGAGACAAAACAGAAATTTCCTTAACAAAGCAACTGCTAGTCTTACTGCAGAACAGCAATGTTCCAAACAAGACTTCGGCTATGAAAAATAATCCATCTCATATTACTGATAGACGACCAGAAAACAGTTTACCTGAGGATATTGGTGAAAGGAGCATATCAGAGGCTTTGGAAAAAACTTCAAAAGTCATCCAAGATATTGAATCTCTCCTAGCCTCCTCTGAGAAGTGATGCTTGAACAAACACGTGAAAGACCAGCATTATTTAAATGTTTATGGGCTCTATCCTGCAGTCTTGTGTATCAAGTGGGATTTTTGGATGTGCAAGGAATGAAAGATCAGGTCCGAAGAGTTGGAAGCCTGTAATTTTTGTTCTGAATAATTGACACTCTCCTACTGTAACAAAAGAGTTCTAATAACCCATACAGACATACAAAGGATAGAACAGAAATTAGGTATATTTATGTAGTCTGGTTCTATTTACAGGTAGTGCTTGAGTAAAAGTGCCGCCTTTAATAGAAATTAAAATGACAATGCATGTTTGTAAATTCCAACATGTTTGATGTGTATATACAGAAATGCTTTAAGCAATTGAGTTACTGGTAAATAACTGACTAGGCTATCATAATCTGGTTAAGCAATTTTTAAATTTGAAAATCTTTTATTTTTAAGAGATCAAAGGAATATTCAAGATGGCCCCTCAACTATTTCTGCTCTATACTTTTACTGTAAAATAGTATTTTAAGAACATTTTGAAAATAAAGTTTCACTAACCCTCATTTGTTTTTCATTTAATGAATATTGCCTTATAGTGCCCTACCTAAACAAAACTTATTTTCTTTTTAGGTTATCATACTTATACATACTATAGATAAAGAAAAAGTCTTCTAGATTATCTTGTCTTTTCCTAACCTTATCAGCCAAATACAGGATTATTCCCTCCAGAATATTCTCTGCTGCTTTATCTAGTCTTGTGTTAAATCACTAATGAAAAGAAGCTTGCACTACCAAAATTATTTCCAAAACCCACAACACTCCAATAGTTCATAAAATGTTCTTTAACAATTTTCAGCATGAACAAGGTTTTTGTTTTTTTTAGCATTGATACTTTGGAGCATAATGGTGGAGGTGTGTGTAATCCTCCTGAAAAGGCATTTGGGACCTCCCGTCATGCCCTATGACTCAGCCTGCAACCAACTTTAGTACTGTATATACTCGTTCATAAGCCAAATATTTTTGGTAAAAAAGTGAAGCATCAAAGAGCGGGGGTTGGTTTATAAATGGGTCTACACTAAAATTTGATGATTTTAAACTCTATGGAATCATTGAATTGAATATCTAATACATTGTTGTTTTGTTTACCTGGAGCGTCCGCAGGCATGGAGCTCCTCAGCTCCCTGTGGCTGTGATTTGCCGTTCCCAGCCAATGGGAGCTACGGGAACTGGCGGCTAGGTAAACAAAACGTCCCGACCCGCCAGCGGCTTACCCTGACGGCCAGGAGCCATTTATTGATGTCAGTACTGCAGCCTTTTAAAGTTGCAAAGGCTTTGTTTAGTGGACTAGATTGGCTTGAAATGAATACTAAAAGAGCAGTGCTGCAGATCTGCATGACATTTGACCCATGCAGTTCACAAAATGCTACACCTTTACAAGCCAATCAGAAAAATACAATGAATGATAGTACTATAGCACTGGTGTCAGTCTGCTACTGTGTAATTTGATCTCTTCATGCATTTCTACCAATGAACCTCATAAGTCTCGAGCCAATATGAAAATATAACGTGCAGAATCGATGGAATCTCTAATAAAATTGAAATAGCCTGTTATCGCCACAGACATGCCAATCTACAGGGCTGCTTTGAAATAAAAAAAGAACAATAATTTGACAGTGATAAAGCAGGTGACATTCCTATATAAAGTCCTACAAAATCTATAACTATAATAAAATGAACAACGGTGAAATCAAAAGAAAATGGTCTGCTTATCACACAGCGTTCAAACTTAAAGTTGTTGAATGTGCAGAAGCAAACAATAATTGCACCGCTGCTCGTGAATTCTGTATCAATGAGAAGCAAGTAAGAGAATGATGAAAAAATAAAACAACACTAAAAGACATGCCAAGAAGCAAGAAAAAACGTCCAATGAGGTGCGCTTCATTTCCTGAGCTGGAGAAAGATCTCAATAATTGGGTTGTTGAATGTCGACCAAATGGGTACATTGTCACTAGAACTGGAATTCGTCTGTGTGCTCTGCAAATGTCAAAAGATGACAAATACAAGTCAGTAAAGCTGTCAATGTTTGTTACATCAGCGGGTTGGTGTACTTGCTTCATGAACTGTCATGATCTCTGTCAGCAAACAAAGATAGCGCAAAAGCTGCCGAGATATCTGGAAGAAAAAATCAAATCTTTCCAAAGGTTTATTATAAAATATCAAAAGGAAAATGCATTTTAACTGTCACAAATAGGAAATATGGATGAAACACCGATGACATTCAATCTCCCGAGCAACAGAACGGTAACCAGTGTTGGTGAAAAAACAGTTTTAATTAAAACCACTGGCCATTGAAAAAATCCATTTAACAGTGGTTTTATCGTGTTTGGCAAATGGATCAAAGCTCCCTCCTGTTCTTATTTTTAAAAGAAAAACCTTGCCTAAAAACATGAAATTTCCTGCTGGTGTCATAGTACATGCACACAAAAAGGGATGGATGGATGAAAGTGGGACTATTGGATGGATGAAAGTGGGACTATTGAATGGCTGGAAAAAGTGTGGAATAAGAGACTAGAAGCACTTTTCAAGAAACTTGCTATGCTCGTTTTGGACATGTTCAGGGAACACAAGACGGATGAGGTGAAAATTTGTGACCAAAAATATGAAAACTACTTTGGCTGTAATACCTGGAGGCTTAACTTCAGTTCTACAACCACTTGATGTCTGTCTGAACAAACCCTTTAAAGACAGGCTATGCAAAATGTGGTCTGAATGGATGTGCTCAGGCATGGTGAAGTTGACAAAAGGCGCTAATCTTATGAAGCCCAAAATCAATCTGGTCGCCCAGTGGATCAAGAACGCGTGGGTGTCCATTCCCTTGGAAATGATACAATGATACAGATACATTTCTGAAAGGTTTTTTGTATCAGCAATGCACTCAACGGGTCAGAAGATGATTGATTACACAACAGTCTGATGATGGGAAGGAATCTGAGTCTGAAGACGACACTGCTGACATCTACGATGACAATACAGGTGCAGCTGTGACTGAAGCCGAGTTTAATGAACTGTTAGTGAATCAGAGACTGATTCAGTCTTTGAAGGATTTTAAGACTTTAAAAAGTCTCATATTGTTCTAAGTTACTTGTTTTAAATATCCATTTACTGATTTTAAATATTGACTAATTTTGAAGGTGAATACATATTCAGTTGTTATAACTACAATAGGTTTTTTGTTAGATTACATTAAAATAATTCTAGCAAAACTTTTGAGTGTTTCTTGTGATGCCAACTTTTAAAATATAGCAGGAGTCGGAAAACTTTGATTCCCGGTCCGTCAGGGTAAGCTGCTGGCGGATCGGGACGTTTTGTTTACTTGGTGTGTCTGCAGGCACAGAGCCCCTCAGCTTCCAGTGGCCACGGTTTGCCGTTCCCCGCCACTGGGAGCTGCGGGAAGTGGGGCCACTTCCCACAGGTCCCATTGGTTGGGAACAGCAAACCATGGCCACTGGGAGCTGAGGGGCTCTGTGCCTGTGAACACTCCAGGTAAACAAAATGTCCAGGCCTGCTAGCGGCTTACCCGAACAGGCCAGGAGCCAAAGTTTGCCAACTCCTGAAATATAGGGTTGGCTTATGAAAGGGTCATACAGTTTTTGCTATTTTTACCTGTCCATCTGGGGGATTGGCTTATAAATGAACAGGCATATACAGTAATTTAATTTCAAGAAAGGAAAAAAAACCTTAACTTTGAAATATTAAACTTGGTGCATGAAGCTTTTTTTTTTAAGCTACTGGTGCTCAGCTGTAGATGATGTAAAGAAACCGGAAAAGATCCAGACGTGAGTGACAAAGATCAAAGGGCTAGAATGCAAGCCGTATGACCAAAGGCAGAAGGAACTGGGTATGTTTAGTTTGAAAAAGAGGAGATGAAGTGGGGATAAGATACCAGTCTTTAAATACTAAAAAGGCTGCCATAAAAAAGGTGGAGAAAAGTTGCTCACTCCTGTTACAGAGTGCAGGCTAAGAGGCAATAGGTTCAAACTGCAGCATTGCAGATTTATTTTAAATCTCAGTTAAATTTTTCTTAAGTACAGTTGGACAATGGAACAACCCGCCCCGGGAAGTTGGGGAATCTCCTTCCTTAGAGGTTTTCAGGACACTGGAGTTAGCCGTCTGTCTTGGATGGTTTAGACACAACAAATCCTACACCTTGGCAGTGGCTGGGATTAGACCGTATGGTCCTTACAGTCCTGTCTAACCCTATTGTTCTACGATGCTGATTTTCACAAGCTGCTGTTGCTTTTCAGCCAGGTGGCTGCCTCTAGAGCACAGTGTAGCATTATGTGGCTTTTAACTGCTGGCTGTACTGTAGGCTGGCCTGGGGGGGCTGGCGCTGTGATTACATTCTCTGACCTAGCCGGCAGCGCTTATTTTCTGGGAAACGTTTTACAAGGGAACGCTGCATAATCAAATGACCATTTGCCCAAAGCTAAGGGGGCTGGCCGGGCGGGGCCTGGGGGGCTCTGGCGCTGCCATCAGCGGAACGGGGGCACTGTCTGCCTTGGCAGCTCCTCACAGCTTTCCCCGGGCCGCGGCAACAGTCACCGCCCCTCCCCTGCTGCGGCGAGAGCGGCCACAGCGCGGACAGGGCCCCTGCGAGGGGCGGCCAGACACTCAGCGGGACTTCTGGGGGGCGACCCGCAGGCAGGGCCCCGCCCAGGGCCGGGCGGCTCCTGGAGGTCTGTCCGCCAGCCGCTATCCCAGAGTGCTTTGTGCCTTTTAGCGGCGGGCCGCCCGCTGCGTCGCTATAGTGAGACACGGGCCCTGCCTGTGACCGCCGACGGCAGCGCCTCCCCGTGAGCAGAGCCGGGCTCCGCAGGGAGCAGGAGCGTGCGCGCCGGAGCCGCCGGCTTGGGAAAGAGGCGGCAGCAGGAGCGGCTGGGACGAGAAAGGTCTGCGCGGGGCCCCGGCGTGAGCCGGGCGGGCTCGGGCTGGGGAGGCGGGGCTGGGGTCAGTTCGGGCGGGGCCTTGCCCCGTCCCACCCCGCCCCAGCTGGGTGTTAGGACTGGGGAGTGGAGGGCTGGGCTGGGGCCCTGGTGTCAGTCCAGGCTAGGCTGGGCCGAGGCTCCGGTCTCAGTCCGGGCTGGGGCACCGGAGGGAGCTGGCGCTTCTCCCCCCTCAGGGACTCAGCACTGCTGCAGCTTCCTGTGCTGCCTTAGGCTCCAGTGTCCCCCGCCCTCGCTGGGATTAGGGCGGGTTCACACACGCCCCTTCCCTTGGCACCAAAAGCGGGGCTCCCTTCACAGCGTACTCAGGCTTTGCTCGGAGCAGCCGAGAACCGAGACCGCCTAGTCTAGGGATTTGGGGCAGAACAAGTGCCGAGCTGCTGCTTTGTCATCACTAGCGACTAGCGGCCCCCGGGACAACTGGGCTTTAGCGCTGCTCTGTGGAGCCAGGTCGTAGTAGATTTACTGACCGCTCTTCAGAACTGCCTCTGTCGGGCTGATAAATTCTTCCCCGTACGCCCAGCCCGGCCATCCCCTGCTTGCCATGGCTCTGCTACCTGACTTTAGGTGCCTAGAAAATCATAGGAACAACACTGCGATCCATAAAGCTGAGTTAGGCACCTAGGCTCCCCATACAGTGGGGGGAGAGAGGCATCTAACAATTTGATCCACAAAAGCTAGGATGCTAAATGGGGAGTTTCCTAAACTAGCCAATTGGAGATGCCAACAACAGGGGTGTGTCCTATATCTTGCTCCTCCCTCCGAGATAGGTGCCTCCCTTCAGCCTGGATTTAGGTACCTATCTTTGCTAGCTGTCCACAAACAAGACCCAGTCACAGATTGGAGTTAGGCACCTAAGCTGTTTCTTGTGTGAATGAGTTAGGGGCCTGTCTCAGTCCTCACAAAACAGCCCGAGGAGTTGGTGTTGCCCACGTTTTGAGTTTTGGCCCGGTGGTTAGAGCACTCACCTGGTATGTGGGAGACAGAGTGGTGGAGAGGATTTGAACAGGGGTCTCCCACCTGAGGAGAGAGTTTTAACTGCTGTGCTTTTGGATAATCCAATGTGGGGTTCTTGGCCATCACTATTGTGGAAGCTTTTCCAATGTGGATAAATAACGGAAGAGAGTGATAGGAACAGGAGGACTGGGCCCAGGGTGTTTTCACCTCCCAGGTGCATGTCCAGACTACTGGACTACAGAGAGAGGGGTAAATTGGACCTGGATCTCCCACATCCCCAGTGAGTGCTCTAACCACCGGGCTAAAAATCACAAGATGTGCACCATCACCTCCTCCCACTTCTCCTTGCCAAGGAGTTCTTCAGTGGACTCTTTTAAAACAGTGGACCAGACAAGACTGAACTTTTGTTGGAGTTGAGGCGATCTCTGGTAATGTTGTTAGCATGCATCACATGTAGGATCTTCTGTCGTCTTTAATATTTTTTTCTGTAATGCTTTTACTTTAGGAATAAATGTACTTGGTTAGAGAGGGCTGTGTGGTAACTTACAACTGTGGCAATTATGCTATTTGTAGCCTCTGAGGAGAAAATCAGAGCAGGCCTGCTTCGTCAGTCTGACTTTGCTGGGAAATTCACAGTATAGGCAGTAAATTGTGAAGCCTGGAAATAACCTGGTTAGGAAGCAAAGAGGTGTGTGTGTCTCTGCCCAAGAGAAGTGATAATTGGGGAGCAAGAAGCCCAAGAGCAGACACTCTTGCTGGACCATGGAGGGAGAATACAGTTTGCCCAACAAATTGTGTTCATCTATATGTCTGACAATTTTATTCTTTACTATAGTTTCAACCAGTTTGCCCGGTACTGAAGTCAGGCTTACTGGCCTGTAATTGGAGTCATATTAGTGATCCTCCAGTCATTTGGTACAGAAGCTGATTTAAATGATAGGTTACAGACTACAGTTAGTAGTTCTGCAATTTCACATTTGAGTTCCTTCAGAACTCTAGGGTGAATACCATCTGGTCCTGGTGACTTATTACTATTTAGTTTATCAATTTGTTCCAAAACCACCTCTGATGACACCTCAATCTGGGACAGTTCCTCAGATTTGTCACCTAAAAAGAATGGCTCAGGTTTGGGACTCTCTCTCACATTCTCAGCCATGAAGACCGATGTAAAGAATTCATTTAGTTTCTCCTCAATGGCCTTATCGTCCTTGAGTGCTCCTTTAGCACCTCGATCGTGCAGTGGCCTGATTGTTTAGCAGGCTTCCTGCTTCTGATGTACTTAAAATACTTTTTTTTTTTTTTTTTGCTATTACTTTTTTTGAGTTTTTGGTTAGCTGTTTTTCAAATTCTTTTTTGGCCTTCCTAATTATATTTTTACACTTCATTTGTCAGAGTTTATGCTCCTTTCTATTTTCCTCACTAGGATTTCACTTCCACTTTTTAAGGATGCCTTTTTGCCTCTCACTGCTTCTTTTACTTTGTTGTTCAGCCACCATGACACTTTTTTGGTTCTCTTATTATGTTTTTTAATTTGGGGTATACATTTAAGTTGAGCTTCTATTATGGTGTCTTTAAAAAGTTTCCATGCAGCTTGCAGAGATTTCACTTTTTGCGCTGTACTTTTTAGTTTCTGTTTAACTAACTTCCTCATTTTTGTGTAGTCCCCCTTTTTGAAATTAAATGCTACAGTGTTGGGCTTAATTATTACACTATTACCAAGCGGTCCAGCTATATTTACCGCACTATAGTAACTCTAACTCAGGAACCAATCCATGCAACAAACCTCGATGCCAACTCTGCCCACATATCTACACCAGCGACACCATCACAGGACCTAACCAGATCAGCCACACCATCACCGGTTCATTCACCTGCACGTCCACCTATGTAATATACGCCATCATATGCCAACAATGCCCCTCTGCTATGTACATCGGCCAAACTGGACAGTCCCTACGTAAAAGGATAAATGGACACAAATCAGGTATTAGGAATGGCAATATACAAAAACCTGTAGGAGAACACTTCAATCTCTCTGGACACACAATAGCAGATTTAAAGGTAGCCATCCTGCAGCAAAAAAACTTCAGGACCAGACTTTAAAGAGAAACTGCTGAGCTTCAGTTCATCTGCAAATTTGACACCATCAGCTCAGGATTAAACAAAGACTGTGAATGGCTAGCCAACTACAAAAGCAGTTTCTACTCCCTTGGTGTTCACACCTCAACTGCTAGAAGAGGGCCTCATCCCTCCTGATTGAACTAACCTCGTTATCTCTAGCCTGACTCACTCTTGCTTGCATATTTATACCTGCCTCTGGAAATTTCCACTACATGCATCCGACGAAGTGGGTATTCACCCACGAAAGCTCATGCTCCAATACGTCTGTTAGTCTATAAGGTGCCACAGGACTCTTTGCTGCTTTTACAGATCCAGACTAACATAGCTACCCCTCTGATACTTGACATTATTATAGAGTTTTTTATTTTAATAATCTCTCTAATCTCCCTGTGCATTTCACAGTCACTATCACCATCCTGGTTGGGTGGTCGGTAATATATCCCTACTGCTATATTCTTATTATTAAAGCATGGAATTACTATCCATAGAGATTCTGTGGTACAGTTTGGTTCATTTAAGATTTGTACTTCATTTGATTGTATGCTTTCTTTCATATATATAGTGCGACTCCCCCACCAGCATGACCTGGTCCGTCCTTCTGATATATTTTGTACCCTGGTATTACTGGGTCCCATTGATTAGCCTCATTCCACCAAGTTTCTGTGATGCCTATTATATCAATATCCTCATTTAATATGAGGCACTCTAGTTCACCCATCTTATTATTTAGATTTCTAGCATTGGTATATAAGCACTTTAAGAACTTGTCACCTTTCAGCTGTCTGCCATTACATGACGTACTTATAGACTGGGATCGAGGCAGCTCTGCTGCACTGGCAGAGTTTTGCCACTATAGCTCGCAAACCCTGCTAGTGCAGAAACAGTTAATACCAGCAGAAGAGTGCAGGTATATCTTATACCAGTTTCCTGAATGAAATAAGCTAAACTGGCAAAAACACTTCTTTGCTGGTATAACTGCATCTAGAATAAGGCTTTGGCCAGTATAAAAATGTCATAAAAATCATACCCGTAACTGATATTTTTATATCGACCAAATTTTTAATTGTAGATCTGGTTTAAATCTTCTTTTCACACAATAACTAGATTGAGCTAATTAAGTAATGTATTTTGCAAGCCCTCTAATCATTATTGTAGCTCTTCTCTGAAACCTCTCCAGTTTTTCAGTATCCTTTTTTTAAAGTGTGGACACCAGAACTGGAGGCAGTATTCCAGTAGTGATCTCTTCAGTACCATATTCAGAGGTAATATCACCTCCCTACCCCAACTTGATATTCCCACTATGTGAAATGGAGTTTTCTGGTACTCTAATGCTGTGATGGATAGAGTGTATGTTGCTTTCATTGACATGTTACCAGAAGTGTGTCCTTTTTGGTACATTAGCATAATCTTAATTCTGATCTATATTTTGGGAGCCTATAGCTGCATGTTCTCAACCACTTTTGGGATAATACCTTTGTACACATAATACTTGTTTGTATATCTTCAGTAATAGAATTTTGACTAGGTTTTTATTCCCTTTGCTGTGTTTGGAAGGGAGGCCCAGATTTCATTTGATATTTATTATCTAATAATTAGAGCAGTGATATGTCCTGTGGGGGTTCTGTAGCAAAGAAAGTCTACAACATCATCTGGAGACAGCAGTCATTTTTGTCTTGTTCGGTGGTGGTCCTGCAAGAGCAGGCAGTTTTAATAGAGGAGTTAGGTCACTCATGTAAATGTTGAATAGGGTAAGTCCGAGGCTGCATCCCTGCCTTACTCATCATTCATGCGTGAAGACTTCTTTTTGCATGTCTTTTATCTCTCAGTTGGATTGTTATGTTTATTTTGATTGTATCAAATGCTTTCACACTAATTCCATTTTGTAGTAGTTAAAATCCAGTAGTAGTTTAAATCTGAGGTTCTGTATTGACTCAATACTTTTTAAAAAAAGTTTAGTTTCTTTCCTTGTCTTATGTTTTTATATGTATGTTAATAAGTATGTGTAGTGTAAAGATGTGAGGCTTCTACAGAATTGTTTACTAATATTGATGCTGCCAACACAGATGCCTCTGTTGTTGCTTGGCTGAGAGCATCTTTAGTTCTTTGTATTAGGATAATTAGTTTGTGACTACATCTCTGTTGATTGTCAGTGGAGGGTTAGGTTAAGCTGCATTTGCATAGTGGTATGGTTCAGAATCTCAGTTAATATGTTATGGACGGCAAGTTTTCAGTTTCTGGAGGTTTTCTTTGCTTTTTTGTGTTACTATGGGGATGGAGTGGGTAGTCTTTAATGGAATTTCCTAGTAGATGTGAAATTTAAGGTAGCGTTTTTCCCTGGTCTATGATTTTGGCATTTAGTTCCTTAAAAGTAGAGGGTTAGATGTGTTCTTTCAGACTTTACCATTCTGAATTGCTAGGTGTTTTTGTGGTTAGGTTTGATTCTTATGTGTCAGAATTAGTGTCTTTTGCAGGAAAAAAATAAAATTAAGTCTGATTTTTTTTTTTTGTTGGAGCCTTGATTTATAGTTCCTTAGTATGATGGTGAAGGTGTGTAACCTGAAGAGTCCCTAAATGCCCACAGGCAGGTGGCCCACTATACTGTAATGCATATCAGGCTTGACACACTCACTACACCCAACATATGTATCGTACTATGTACTTAAAAGGTATCATGTGAGGTATCCTGTGTAAACAGGTAACATTCTGGTTCCAAAAATGATTGTGTGATGTATGTACATGTTGAGTACAAAGAGTTATGCATGTGTGCTGGAAATATGTTCTTAAAATGCATTTGGAAGGCAGTGCATAAACCCATCCTGCCCTAGACAAAGGAATATGGATTCTGTCTGGCTTGATTACAGGCAGAGGACAATGAAAGTACATTTACATATGTAAGCAGGGTCTGAATGAACTCTCCCCTGACAGCTACTTCGGGAGGGAGAGAGACTTCAGGAGCAAACTGTATTTACATGAACACACCTACTCTACATAGGTATCTAGCAGACAGGAGTTGTGTAGCTCCAAGTGATCAGCTTTGGCTGGTATTGGGTTACAAATCACTTTAGTATGGCATGCATGCAGGGGTAGTGAAATGTTATTAATGTTATCTTCATTGTATGACTAAAGAGGAGCAGAACTGTGCTGAGCTTGTCCCAATTGAGGGGCCACCCTCAGCTGAAAGGAATTTGTAAGCCAGGGGCTTGAATGCCAGACCCCTGTGAAAGTAAGAGGGATGGGGACAGGTGTCCCAGCTAGAAGGTGTGAACTCTTCCTAATGGTCCCCGGTCTGTTCCTCCCCACTGTTCAAAGATAGAGCTAAGTAGGCTTCATTAGGAGCCTTTATTATGTCAAAGTGCTTAAATGAGAGCTGAAATCACCTCTGGTGGGGCAGTGTTTCTGCCCAGCCCGCAAAGAGCTGAAAATCACGAAGAGACTGATGAGCAGAGGTCACAGCAGAGAATCAGGAGGCAGAAGAAGGTGACTGACAGTCGGCCGGTGGACAAACTGCTGGCGAGGTGGCGAGCTGAATGAGCCGCTGGCGAGGCGGCCAGCGGAGAGGAACCGTGGCTGGTGGGACAGCCGGTGGAGAGGAACTGTGGCTGGCAAGGCGGCCAGCCAGAGCAAGTGTTCAGATGGTGGAGCAAGCAAGGTGCCTTCTTCCCCGGGTGGGAGGTGAATTCACACAGATGCACCTCTGAGCCCAGGATCTTTACTGACCAAGGACAACCACTGTGAGTGGGGTACGGTGAGGGAGCAGAGAAGGGCACAGAAAAGGAACTTTTGGTTGTAGAACTCAAGAACATGAGACAGAAGGCACTGCCCCACTCACTCTGGGGTGGGTGTCCTGCTCAGTTTTATGATTATGAATCCTGCTTGTGGCATTTTCCCTAATTTAATGTCAGATAACTTCCTTCCTTTCATTAAAAGTTTCTTTGTTCTACACTCAGACTCTGTGCTTGTGAGTGGGGAAGTATTGTCTTTCAGAGGCGCCATGGGGTGGTGTGTAATTTTCCCAGGTAACTGGGTGGGGGCTCGAGCCGGTTCTGTGTTGTATTGTTGAAGAGGAACCCCTAGATATTGAACCCGGCCCTGGTTGCTGCTGGCTCCACCTGTCAGAAGGGTTACACATATAAGGTAAACAAAGCAATCAAATTAACAAGAAATGGAGGAAGGAGCTTACTGAGATCACCGGGGGCCAAGTCTGCACCCCCAGGAAGTCTTCCTGGCTCTTGAGACAGAGATAATGAACTCTAGAAAATATAAGAAGAAGCATAAAGAGGTTCTAGTTGTTTGTAACCAGACCTGTCTCTTTCGCTCTTGGTTAGTATCACTGAAATTCTGTTCTTCATTAATAAATTTATTCTACATTTATTACAAAACGGTCTCATTGCTGTGTATTAAAGTGAAGTGTGAGTCTTCAGCTAACCAACAGGCTGGTGTGTACACTGTCTCTTTGGAGTGAGTGAATTTAATAATTTCTTTGTGTGTCACAGTGAGAGGGACTGGACACTGCAGAGAGATGTCTCTCAGGAACTGGTGTTCACTGATTATCACCTATCAGAGGGGTAGCCATGTTAGTCTGGATCTGTAAAAAGCAACAGAGAGTCCTGTGGCACCTTTAAGACTAACAGATGTATTGGAGCATAAGCTTTCGTGGGTGAATGCCCACTTCGTCGGATGCATCAACAGGACTCTCTGTTGATTATCACCTATAAGGTAAGGTTTCAACTGGCAGAGTCTTGGAGTTTGCTCATGAGGTAGACAGTCAGCAACCCCACGGTCCAATCTCCAGCAAAACTCTCACCTGCTGAGGTGGAGGGGTGACACACTGGCTTACAGTTCTGGATGTTATGAATAGAATATAATAAGGTGTCAAATTAGTGTCAAATGGGCACCTGTGTTTTAAATGGGAGGGTTTCCTCTGTAGCAAGTTATCTGTTTTCCTGAGTGCCGTTTTAACATTTTTTATAGCTGATTGTTAGTTAAAGATAGTTTTGTTGATCTCCAGAGTCTTTCATAGGTCATCTGTGGTCTAGTTGATGCCATTTCTCATTTGGTCATAATTTCCTAAACAAATATTATCAGGTAAAGATTTGGTGAATGGGGATGTTGGGTTTCTTCCATATTTTGATTTTCTGTCCTGTGCTCATATATATTTTGTAAGACATTTGTAAAGCTTCTGTGCTATGTGGGTGCTTACTATTACTTGGTTTGATTTGTGCAAAGACAGGACGAACAGTCGTTGCTGACTGGGGTTTGACTGTTTATGTATTTCCTTACCTCTGTAGACAAAAGTAGGAAGTGTGAATATCCCAAAATGATTAGAGTTCATCAAGAAGGTGCAGATGCTATAATCTGTGGACTGTACGCCAAATTTGCTATTGAAGTAAGCTGATACAACTGCAATGAAGTAAATAGAGATATGTCAACTTACTCCAACTGTGCATGCATGCGTATGTATGTACAAAGAACTCTTAATGTCTCTTAATGAGTCCTGTGCAGGGTATTTTGTGAGCTGAGACAACATCCAATCTGACATGGAAATCAAGTAGAAGTGATCTTCTTTTTAACTATATTTCTCCAGTTTTCCAGCTCTCCTTCTCCTTCTCGCTCCCCCCCCCCGGCGCGCTGCACCAACCACTTCTTTAATAAGTGCTGCTACTTGGTTGGCTAGGAAAAGGTTTGTGAGATGCTGGGGTCACTTGTTTCTTAAACTGGAAAAAAAACTGGAATTTAATTCTTCAAAATGTGATATTTTAAATTATGAATAATCTTAAGAAAAGTACAAAGACTAATGCTGCAGAAAATGGTTCATGTTATATGATTACTCTGAAGGGGTACAGTCGGTTAACAGGCTCTAAATTTGACCTACTTTTTGTCATCTCTATGCAAAGTTCATGTATTCATTCTTTTTTCTTTTTCAAATGAATGCTTCAATGGACAGTTGACATTCATTTTTAAAAGAAAAAAGTTCAACATATGAAGCACTTTTGTACAACCCTTCAATACACCTGCATGTGCTTAGGATGGAAGAAATATTTGTTAAGAACATTTATTTCAATTTAAAATTTTGTACGGTTTATAATAAAGAACTTTTTTACAATCATGAAAAATTTCATAACAATGTCTTTCAAAAATCATTTTTAAGGGCACCACTTAACATGAGTGTGAAAATAAATTCTTATTCAATTAAAAAAAAATTATTTACCAAAAAGTAATGTAAAAGAAAGGACTTTGTGCTTATCAAAGCTTTACTGCATTATAAGGAGATAGCAACCATCGTTCAAAGAGAGCATATTTTCTATTTAAAATGCATTGAAACTAATCTGTTCCCACAGATTTTTGAAATAATGCAGGAGCATAACTATCAGATGTTTAGAACAGAGATTGTGTTCTGAGAGGCAGTTTTTCAGTTTTGCATATAACACTTACAGAGCTAGGGAATAGAACAAATTTCACCAGCTACATAAGGTAGGGGGCGTTCTTCATATTACTATTTGTTTAATGTTATATTCCATCCTTGTGATAACAGGATCTAATTATTGTATGTGGTTTTGAGATGTTGTTTTCATGAGTCATTAAGGAGATTTAGTTGTTCCCAAGGTGCAGTACCCTTGCAGCAAAAAGCTTTGCAACAACTTCAAAGTGTAAATGATTTGATAAAGATTTTTTCTAAATGATAGAAAGCAATTGTCACTAATAATATGATTTCCCTTTTACAAATTTTTGATCCCATAGTTCAACGTGAAAAGTAGAATTACTTGGGTTAGCCCAGCATTCTCAAGAACTGCAAAGGTGACTTGATAGATTGAGGGAATGTGCTGGAAACAGCAGTAGAGGTTGCTGCTGAGTGCTAATTAGAGCAGCATATTTAGATTTCCTCTGAAAGGAGTAAAGTTCTCCTCAGTTCTCTTTGACTGAACTATATTGGCTTCATGATGCTATCTATCCTGAATGTTGCAGGAAAATCCTCTCAGATTTTGTTTTATGAAATTGGAAATGTCAAAAGATAAGAATCAAAGCATGAGTGTACTAAAGTGTTTATTCTCATTAAAACAGCACAAAAATTTTGATTCGGAGCCATACTGTTTGGGTCAATGAATTAAGTTAATTATATTTAATATTTCTGGAGAATCTTAGATTTTGTGCAATGAATTTTCTATTAGAATATGTTTTATTACAGCTGCAGATATAGTTGGGTTTGACAAGTATTTAGTGCTAGCTGACACACTTCTTCATTAAGACTTTTCTCTTTGATAATTTACAGAATGACTGAAGATTAAAAGGACAATGGGCTGCGTGTATCCTGATGGCATCTTGTGTACAGTGACAAGTTACTTGCTATGGCATCTGAGACTGAAAAGGCTCATGCTCTTCTCCAAACTTTCAGCACAGCTTCAGTTATTTCCAGTTTAGGATTGGGAATATTCTGCTTCATAGCAGACCGACTTCTGCAGTTCTCTTTCATTCAGCAACACGACTGGCTCCGAGCTCTCTCTGATAATGCAGTGCATGGTGTGGTGGGAATATGGTCCTGGGTGATAGTGATTGGGCTCAGGAAGAAGAGTGACTTTAGTGAAGTCATTTTAGCTGGTTTCCTCTCTTCTGTCATTGATGTGGACCATTTTTTTCTAGCTCGCTCCCTTTCATTACAGGTAAGCAAAGTAGATCAAAGTTCACTTTGTTTTCTTAACTATTTTTGCATTTCCACCTACTTCTAAACTCTATATCAGCTCTTGGAGCCTAAACTTTGCAGTCCGATGTCTCAGTGCCTTGATGTATTTAATTGGTTACAAAATGTTTTTAAAACATATATAAAAAGCTACAGTTTATGTGTAAAAATTCATTTACATCTCACTGCAATTTTAAGTATAAAAGCCCAACGTGGCATTTTTTTTCTGCCTTTTAAAAATGTGTAGTATTAGATGTAGATATTTAAGTTCTAGAGAGACTATGCATATAGCTCCTAAAATTTGTATATCACTCGCTTTGTTAGCCAAGTTACACTTTTGTCTGTAGCTTCATACACTTTGTGTCTATTGAAATGAGATTGTTCCTTTTTTTCTTTTAGAATAAGTAGTAAAAGCAGCCAGATGACAGAACGTCCAACTGTTATTTAGTTTAAATAAGATTAGTCATTGACAGATTGAAAATTAAGCTTAGCTAGGGCTCTGTTTTGCACCCGCAGAAGGAGGAGGTGGTGGTGGTAAATAATTACAGGCGTAATTTTAGGACCACAGCTATTTGTCGGCAACATTTAAAGTCACTTGTATGTTGCAATTATTTGTGCTTTCAAATATGGCGGAAAAATGGAGACCAGCCTCTGAAAAATCTCACTTTTATTCAACAATTTGATGTTCGTAGCCAACTACCATTAGGAGGTACTCAAGAAGGATTTGACACTAGGTTGATTTTCTTTGGATTAATAAGGAGGAAATATAACACCAATATTAAGGAATGTGTATGTATAATAGATAGTGATCTTTTTGCAGGGCTGTTTCTGTCAGAACAAAGTTCTTGTGCCAGCCTTGTTGGAGAGAACCAAATTTGAGTGTTCTATGTAACACATTAGTTAAATCTAATAGAAAGTAAAGAACAATATAAAAATGTTTCAACTTGGGAAAATGGAATTTTCTAAATTAAATTTGTAAGGAACTTTTTGTGTAAAAGGCACTATTATTTGTAACAGATTTTAAAATCACACTTGTGCTTGAAAATGTTGTACCTCCTATTGTTGCAAGATACACCTACAATTGCTATAAATGAAAGATTAGAGAGGGAAATTCTCAATTGTTTCAGTTTGTGTACTTTGTGCATTTGACTGTACTCTTTGGATGTCAGTTTCCCCGTTTGTTTGTGTGGGACTTTCATATCACAGAAAAGGCAGAACACTTTTGATTTTTAAATAGAAAAATATTGTAAAACCACAAAATTGTCAGAGGACACTTAACTCATTATTTGAAACTGGGACATGGACAACCTGAAATCTAGTCAAACGGTTTAAACAGAATTTATTTTAGACCTTATTTTAATGAACACTTGTCATCTGTACATCCACTTATTTTTTAAAATCTGCTTTGTATATGTGAATCACTAAATACTAATTGTTTTAAAAACTTAGGGGTTTTTTTTGTTTTTGTTTTTTTAAGACTCTATTTGCTATCCTGAGCTTTTTTTTCCTCAAACAGGAATATTCTGAAAATAAGTCTTTTCTTAACTATTTCCAGTAGATGGCAAACTTCATCAATAGTGACCGGTTTCAGAGTAGCAGCCGTGTTAGTCTGTATCCGCAAAAAGAACAGGAGTACTTGTGGCACCTTAGAGACTAACAAATTTATTTGAGCATATGTTAGTCTCTAAGGTGCCACAAGTACTCCTGTTCTTTTCACCAATAGTATATGTCAGTGCAGAAAGGATAATATTTGCATGTACAATATTCTAGCTTGTACTATCATTCCTGTTTACAACTACAGTACTCTGCTTGAACCTACTTTTGGAATGATTATACTTTATTTATTTTTAAATTTCCTTGCTGTTAGTTTGTAGTCTAGTAAGAGTATTTGTTTTTTTCAAATTCCAACTCTCACAGTCATTATATATTCTGAAAATTCAACGCCCAGTATTACAATAGTTAATGAAAAACAGTATGCTTATGAAAGGATTGTGACAAGAACAATTCTTTCATTAGCTACAGTATAGAGGAACTATATTGAGACTTTTCACCTCAAGATTTGAGTAATGAAAAGTACCTCCACTAATGAAGAAAGGAATAAAGAATAACATCCTCTGACACTGGTCAGATGTCATATTGTTAATTTCTTTCTACAACATAAATCTGTAGGATCTAATCGTACACTTGAAGTCCACTACCATTAACTTCAGCAGTAGCATGATAATGTATTTTCTTCTCTATTAGAAGTGGGCACTCTTGAAGTACTTAAAAGTATCTAAGAAAACCTTTTACTCATTCTTGTTACAAAATTTTGCTTTAAGTAGCACATTTCATTCTCTAGATAAGTCAGAGTAATGAGTTAAGTATTGATAACACTGGTCTACAATTTTTGAGAAGTCGTCTGCTTCAGAGATAAAATGTGCTATTTATTATGTATTTTGATGTGCTGAATTCAAATATGACAATTAAAACAACTGATTGGCTACTGTTTCTAAGATATTTCAGTTTTTACATTTTATGTATACAATGATCACTTTATATTTATTTTTTATTACAAATATTTGCTTGGTACAAAACAAAAGAAATATTTTTCAATTCACCTAATACGAGTACTGTAGTGCAATCTCTTTATCATGAAAGTTGAACTTACAAATGTAGAATTATGTACAAAAAAACTGCATTCTAAAATAAAACAATGTCAAACTTTAGAGCCTACATGTCCACTCAGTGATATTTCTTATTCAGCCAATTGCTCAGACAGACAAGTTTGTTTTACATTTGCAGGAGATAGTGCTGCCTGCTTCTTGTTTACAATGTCACCTGAAAGTGAGAACAGGCGTTCGATGGCACTGTTGTAGCTGGCGTCGCAAGATATTTACGTGCCGGATGCACTAAAGATTCATATGTCCCTTCATGCTTCAACCACCATTCCAGAGGACATGCATCCATGCTGATGATGGGTTCTGCTCAATAACGATCCAAAGCAGTGCGCACCAACGCATGTTCATTTTCATTATCTTAGTCAGATGCCACCAGCAGAAGGTTGATTTTGTTTTTTGGTGGTTCAGGTTCTGTAGTTTCTGCATTGGAGTGTTGCTCTTTTAAGACTCTTGAAAGCATGCTCCACACCTCATCCCTCTCAGATTTTGGAAAGCACTTCAGATTCTTAAACCTTGGGTCGAGTGCTGTAGCTATCTTTAGAAATCTCACATTGGTACCTTCTTCGTGTTTTGTCAAATCTGCAGTGAAAGTGCTGGGTCATCATCCGAGACTGTTATAACATGAAATATATAGCAGAATGCATGTAAAACAAAGCAGGAGACATATAATTCTCCCCCCATCAGCATAGAAGCATGTCCTTTGGAATGGTGGCCAAAGCATGAAGGGGCATACGAATGTTTAGCATATCTGGCATGTAATTACCTTGCAATGCCAGCTACAAAAGTGCCATGCAAACGGCTGTTCTCACTTTCAGGTGACATTGTAAATAAGAACCAGGCAGCTTATCTCCCGTAAATGTAAACAAACTTGTTTGTCTCAGTGATTGTCTGAACAAGAAGTAGGACTGAGTGGACTTACAGGCTCTAAAGTTTTACATTGTTTTGTTTTTGAGTGCAGCGATGTAACTAAAAAAACCCTACATTTGTAAGCTGCACTTTCAAGATAAAGAGATTGCACTACAGTACTTGTATGAGGTGAATTGAAAAATACTATTTCTTTTGTTTAGCATTTTTACAGTGCAAATATTTGTATTAAAAAATAATAAAGTGAGCACTGTACATTTTGTATTCTGTCTGCATGTGGACTGAGGGGCCAGTTCTTTGGAACCTTGCCACTACCATTTGTTATATAGAAAAAGAACATTCTTGCTATTGAAGGGCTGACAGTCATATGGCAAGACAAAGTTTCTATTTTTTTTAACTTGCTCTGAGGTCTAGTATAGTATTATGTTTTTAATTTCTATTTAAATTTGTTGAGTGCCCGTCTAGGACTTTTGTGTGCGATTACATTCTATAAAAACAATTATTAAAATTAATAGATTTTTTGAGAGCTCCTTAAATCAAAGTACGGAGACTCTGTATTGAAGTGTACATATGTGTTAGCTTTATTGATCATGTTTTAACCTACATGGATAATTACAAAGCAATGGTTAACTCCCAAAGTCCTATCCCAGAATACAGTGAGCTGTATGTAAAACCTGGGAAAGATTCTCTGTGGGTAGTTTCTTCTTTAGTTGCTCCAAAATCCTCTTCAGGAATGCGGAGGGGTTATATACAAGGCATTTCATTAGAGTGAACACATCCTGCCTTGTTAATAAGTTCTACCTGAATTCAGGTTGCAGCCATTCAATGAAGATGCAAATCCTTGCTTCCTGATTGCCTGAGAGATCAGTAGTTCTTTTGAACTGCTATTTTTTTTTCCCTTTTAGAATATTAGTTGAAAAAATTGCTATGCTAAAGAAATGTATGGCTGCACACATAATGGAGAAAGTTCTAGGTATTAGGCACATTTGCAATGTCTTCCCCAATACATACATATATGATGAACATTTATTCATCTTCTTGTGACAAACAGTCCATTTGACCTCACCTTAAGCAAAATCTCACACTTTTATTATTCTATCTTGACGAATACCTCAACAGAAGCCAGTATCATTTTGTTGTTGAATTGAATTAATATTAAGCAAGTTCAGTGTGAAGGTTATTAGCCAACAATTGATCTTAAAAAAAATTCATGTTGACCTTAACTATACATGTAAACAACTTTTAGCATTTGAAAATATTCTTTGTCCATAAACAAGGAATACTGAGCCAAGAAGACAGTCAAAATGAGCTGGTGGGTGTTTTTAATTGGATTTTGTTCATTTTGCTTTGTTAGAAATTACCTCTATGATTAAATAAGGTACATCTAATATTGACAAATTAATATATTTCAGCACAGTAAATTTAGTTTAATACAAGATGTGTTTCAGGTATTTTTGAAAATAGTATATTGAGCAGTTGTGTATTTCCTGTTAATTGTTTTATATGCTATATATTGAATTTCACCACAGCAGCATACTAGATAAGAACAGTTGGCTCAAATCCTGAGAGGGAGGAATTAATAAAGATAATAGGAAAAACAGTTTTTATTTGCACTTTTATGGGAAACAAATGGTTTCTGTTCACTTTATATTTCATCTGTAAACATCTGAGAAGTATTTTTACCTTGTCATGATGGTGTTGGTTGCCAACTGTATTTTTCCTTTCCACAGGCTGCTCTGACTCTTCCACAAAGACCACTTCTTCATTGTTCTACTGTGATTCCTGTTGTGGCTGTGACATTAAAGTTTATTATGCACCTTTTCAGGCTTAAGGACTCATGGTGCTTTCTTCCCTGGATGTTGTGTATATCCTGGACTTCTCACCATGTCCGTGATGGAATTCGTCATGGCCTCTGGATCTGTCCATTTGGAAAAACTGCTCCCTTGCCATACTGGTTTTATGTGGCAATCACAGCATCTTTACCTCATCTGTGTTCATTTGTTATGTATTTAACAGGTACTGGAGAACTAATGTCTATAAAACATGGAATTCACATTGATGTCTAAGGATGATAGTCCTTGGAAGTCACTTGTTTTGAAGATTATAGTGAAGTTGATCCCTGTGCATTCCTCATGATTTCTAAATTAGGCAATTTGAAGCCATGGAGCCATTTATAATTCCAGAATTGATTATTTGTGGCTACAGAAATCTGTTGTCTGAATGATGTTGATGTAATTTCCAGGCATCCTCTTCATGACATCTGTAGTCTTCAATGTCAGTTCTGTAATAGCTAATTAATATATAAAATTCAGTCATTCCTAAATATTTAAATTTCCTCCTCCTCCTATTAACTCTGCTATAGTAGTGCCATTCCTCTGGTCACCCTCCACTTTGGGAAATATGTTCTCCTTTTGAGCACCCACTTTTTTTCCTATAATTAACATTTGCACAGCATTTTGAAGATGCAAAGCACTACAAAAGTGCTATTAGAATTCAGTGCTGTATATCCCTTCTGAGAAATATCTAACAGCTGTTTTTTGTAACTTGTTAGTTTACCCCATTTGAGTCTAACTTCTTGTACTCAAATGGCTGGAAAAATAATGCTGTTTGTTTTTTCAGGATGTGCTACTGATTGACTTGGGAACACTTAACAGTGACTGCTATTTAGTAAAATGTATTCCAAGCACTGCTCTTGCATAGTTGCCTGATACTCAATTTCCAAAAACCTCTTATCTGGGATTTTTGTTTAGAAAAGAGAAAACAATTAGTTTAGGAGTATTGTGTCTGTGAAATTACAGAAGGTTTGCATTATTTAATACTAATAAATATTAATAATTTTATCTAATATTTAAACAATTGTGTTAAAGGCTTATTTGCTGCAGGAAAGTATAAGCTTTAAAGAATTTTCAGTTAAATCCTAAGAAAATTTAGATGACTCCAGAAATATAGCTATTGTATTAAGAGTTTACTACTGTATCTATTACCTGTTACTGTGAAGCTTTTTTTAGCTGCAGCAGCTTCTACTAAATATAATATTGTTCCTCTACTTAAAAACAAAAGCACCTCATTCTACTGAAATGTTATTTTATGCTGGTAAAATGCAACTTCGTGTGTGTGGCAAATTCATGAAAATGGCAGGAATGTGCACCATGAGCTTATTCAAAGTAACCCTTTTCATTCTGTAGAAATCTCTCAGAAAATCCCCCAAATAGAACTGTGTGTGTTAGGTTTTAGTGGGTAGCATTATAAGTTGTGAAATATTTGCATCAACCTCTTCCTTAAAAACTCTTAAAACAACAAATTCCAATTTATTTATAGGTGTAAGGAGCCAGATTCTTGGCTGGTGTAAGTTAGTGACTTCAGTAGAGCTATGCCAGCTTACACCACCTGAAGATCTAGCCTGAGATGTTGTTTTTATGGAAGAGAAACTGTAGAGTTGGATTTGTTTAAAATAATCGGAACAATCAGTAAAGAACAACTTCGGTATCTTCTGCATTTTAGAGCTCTCTAAATTTACCTCTGCTATTGCTGACTCATGGGGGGCTGCATAGACCTTCTGTGCTATGCAGCTGTGCATACTGCACCCCATTCTGAAAAGTTACTTCCCGCCAATCTTCTCTCAGAAGCAGAAGACTCAGCACCAGTTGAGTATAATATGGTAATTAGGCTTGTGAGAAGAATGTTGATGCAGTTAGTCTGCTTAGCATGAAACCTAAAAGTCTTAAAGTGAGTACCCTCCTTGGAAAGAAAATTTGAGGGAGCAGTATGGCATGAAAAGAGGAAGCTTCTTTAGAAGTGCTTTGCACAGCATGTGAATCTTTCCCTTTTATGTGCAACAAATGCTGCAATGGACAGTGGGTATCAAAGTCGGGGAAGTTGAGCTTCCGCAAACAGCCTTGCGTGGCCCTGCCCAGGCTCCACCTCCAGGTCCCCTCCTGCTTCCTGGCGCTGTGCTGCGGTGGGCTCTTCCCCTGTGGCCGGGGCCCCAGGCTGGAACTAATGGGGGCTGTCCTGCAGCCTGGGACTCCACCTGGCGCTCCAGGCCTGGGGGGTGGGGCTGGGAGACGGTGGGCAGGGCCTCAGGCAGAAGGAGTGGGCCGGGCTGGGGGCTAGCCTCCCTAAGCCCGGGGTTCACCCACCGCCCAGGAATGCTGCCCAGAATGCAACACCACATGCATTTCAAATTGTATAGTGCCTTTTTTTCAGGAAGTAGATATTTATCCATTTTTTTTCTTATTAAAACAATAAATAAAATCCCTACCCTATTTGGAGAATAAAAGTCTGTTCTCCTCTTAACGTTTATTTAAAAATATAGGCTACCAAATGTTTAACTATTAAAACCCGTGCATGAAGAAAATCCATATAGGAAAGTTTGTTCTGTTCTTGTTTCATAGTACAGTATTATCTGTATAATTTATTTTTATTCAAAGACTATTATGATAAAACTGAAATGAAACTCTCACAAATTGATGGAGGAAAGGGACTAAAGATTCTTAAAGATAATTAAATTTTCAGGTTGTAATCACAGCATTTTTGTACCAGATACATTTCTGCCAATTTTCCTTAAGACTAGTACTATAAAAAAAAGTTTGGTTCTTCTTTGAGTAATGTTCCTATGAGTGCTCCACTCCTGGTGCACACGTGCCCAACACATCCTTGATTGGAGATTTTCATTAGCAGTGTCCACTTGGCCTGCACATGTGCTGTTGGTATCCTTTGCCCTGCACTGAGGCTATATCAGGCTGTGTGGGTGAACCTCCCCCTCGGTTCCTTCTCAACCACCTCAGCTCGAGACGGAGCTAGCATGTTTATTTCTCGACTACTTTGGCATTTATGGAGCTTCTCTTTAGCTTAGTTAACTGGTTTGTTAGTTGTAGTTAGCTTAGTGTTTAAAACAAAACAACACTCTCCTTTTGGTTAGGAAGACTTGTTCTGTTCCCGTCAGGGAAATTCTCCCTGTGAGGCGTGTGCCTGATTCACTGGAGTTTAAATGCTGCCTCTTGTGTAAAGAAGCCATCACAGCTGGTGACAGGCATTCACTGCCTGGGCAAGTCCTACATGCCGCAGAAGTGCAACTTCCATCTAGCCCTGAAATTAGGGTTTGGAATAACTAAGAAATCAAACTTCAACTCCTCATGATTAAGTGTTCCCTCTGCTCTCCTTTGGAACTAGGTCAGGACCCCTCTGAATATCAGTCTCCAGGAGTTTCTAGTGCCCCATCCATCTTGGTGCAACATTTTCCTAGCAAGAAGAAATGCTCAGAGCCCTCCTCCCAAATCCCCTCAGAAGAGGAGATCTAGTTCCTCTCCCAGGGATTCTCCTTCAAAAAGACCTCTGTCTCCAGCCAGATCTACAGCCTCGAAAAGGTCTTCCCTGAGGCTCAATACTGTAGAGGGGAAAGGCCCCTCTGGGGGGGATGTTGGAAAACACAGCTCTAAGGCTAAACCGGGCTCTAGGAAGATCCTGGCACCCTTGGCTGGGGACAGCACCGAACATAGAAGATCTATACTGTCAACTCTGACTCGTCTCTCAATGCCCTTACCAAGTGTCTCAATATCATATAAGCCTCCAACCTCTTCGATGCCAGCTTCAAAGCACCTTATGCTTCTGGTACCATTGGACAAAGACAAACAGCACCATTGAGTACCACAGGACTTCAGATATTAGAGAGACTTGGCAGTGACTGTTAAACCAGAGTCTCCATTGCTGGTAGGTAGTGAACATCTTTTGCTACCAAGAACCTCTTGGTCTCTGGATCTTTTTGCGTCCCCGGTTCCATTGCCACCCTTTTCTGTAGGAATTCCCCCATTAGAAAAAGAGGATGTTGATGATGACCTACCCACTGCTGCTTCCATTTCAGTGCAGGGTTCTCCAGTACACCCTTACACTAACCCCTTCTCCCGAAGGGGCAGGGAAGATGCTCTGGGATCTCCTCATTCCTGGTGAGAGCAACGCTGGATGCCAAACCCTCCCCTGTATGGCCATGCTGGGAACCCTATTATCACCTGTTTTCTAGGGCCTGATCTTATCCCGTTGGAATGATAGGGAGAACTAAGCTTCCCCCCAGCAACAGAGGAAACATTTGAGGAGCAGGAGGCCAGAGTGGACAAAGAAGCCATGTCTCAAACCACCATCTCATCCTCTTTGCCAGATGAGGCCGTGATGCTTCCTCTTCCTTCAATAGCCAATCCAGGACCTTGTTAAGTGGGTGGCAGACTCTCTGCAGATACCCCTTGAGGAGGTTGGAGAACCCACACAAGCTGTTGGACATTCTACATTCCAACACCGTCTAGAGTTAACCTCTCTATTAATGACAGGTTTCAGAGTAGCAGCCGTGTTAGTCTGTATCCGCAAAAAGAACAGGAGTACTTGTGGCACCTTAGAGACTAACAAGTTTATTAGAGCATAAGCTTTCGTGGGCTACAGCCCACTTCTTCACTCTACTGGAACATGCTATCTGGCAAACGCCGGGTACATAACACCCACTTGTAAGAGGTCCCACAAGAAATAGTCTATCCCCACCAAGAACTCTGAATTCCTCTTCTCCCACTCACCTCCCAATTCTCCGGTTGTTGATGTGGTTACCGAGTGGGGCAAACAACGCCATTATAAATTCATCCTATATGACAGAGACCAAAAACACCTGGACCTCCTGGGAAGGAAGGCCTACTCATTGGCTATGCTGCAATTACTCATTACAAATTACTAAGCATTGATGGCCAAGTACAACTTCACCAGCTACATGAAATATGGGTCATTTATTGAACATCTTCCTCTAGATCAAAGGGAACAATTTGAGGCCAGTATTGCTGAGGGACAGTTATTGGGAAGAACATTGCTGCAGGCAGCACTCAATACTGCAGACACCAAAGCTCATTCTATTTCTCGGCAGTGATGAGTAGGGCTTCCTGGCTACAGTCGTCTGGCTTCCCAGTCAAGGATCTCCCATTTGATGGATGGAAGTTGTTTTCAGAGAACACAGACGAGTCGTTACATATTTTCCAGGGTCACATTACACTTGTTAGGCATCTGTACTCCTGCAAACCAATTTAAGTTCAGCAGATCACAAATGATACTAAGATCCCACCCTGTACCATTCTCCAGATTCCAGAGACCCGCAGAACCCCAGGAAGAAAGGCAGGTTCCAGAGGAAGAGACAGTATAATCCATCTGACATGGCTTCATAACAGGTGTCATCATTAAAGCATTAGTTTTGATGGGACAGTTGAAGGTTCAAATTCCCTCCCTCATTAGCCTGCCAGTTTCATTGTTTTGCTCATCTTCCCCCATTTGGAAACACACTCCCGTTTCCAGCATGCCTGGGACTGTGTCACCTCAGACAAATGGGTGCTGGAAGTAATATCATCGGGCTACACCATCCACATTACTTTCCTTCCTTCCTCCCTCCTCCTTGCCCTTCTCCGTCCCTTTTCAGGGACCCTTCTCACAAGCCCTTGCTAAGGCAGCAAATAAACTCTTCTGTAAGGTGCAATAGAACTGGTACCTGCTCAGTACAGGGGAAAGGTTTTCTATTCAGACTATTTCCTTATACCAAAGAAGAATGGAGGGTGGCAACCAATTCTAGATGTCTAAACAAATTTATGAAATCCCAGAGGTTCAGGCAGGTGACCCTGGTGGCTATAATTCCATCTCTAGATTCAGGGGATTGTTATTTGGCTCTCGACCTCCAGGACATGTACTTCCATATAGCAATTCACCCATCTCACAAGAGATTCCTCCAATTAGAGTAGACCAGGATCATTTTCAGTATTGTGTGCTCCTTGTTCTCAGCTCCGAGAATGTTCTTGAAGATTCTATCAGTAGTGGCTGCTTATCTATGTCGTCAGGCTATTGTGATATTCCCTTCACTCGAGGATAGGCTACTCAAGTCTCAATCTTACCAAGAGGTTTTGTCCATATTCCACAAAGATAGGGTGTCCTTATGGCCACATCCCAGGTTTCTCCCTAAAGTAACTTCCAAATTTCACCTGAATCAGACCATATACCTGCCAGTTTTCTTTCCAAAACTGCATACTTCTAACCGGGAGACTGTTCTCCACACTCTAGATGTGAGGAGGACATTATCCCTCTATCTGGAGAGAACTAAGCTATTTTGTAAATCCAATAGACAGTTTGTTTTGATTGCAGGCAGGTCAAAGGGCTCTGCCATTTCTACCCAGCGACTCTCTAAATGGATTTCTGAGTGTATTATAGTTTCCTACCAGGTTGTCGATGTTTCATCCCCATCAGCTTTTTGGTGCACTCGACTAGAGCATGATCTACATCTATGGCTTTCCTTAGAAATGTTCCCATTTCAGAAATCTGCAGTTACTACATGGTCTTTACTACATACCTTCTCTAGACACTGCCCTGGTCAATGTCTCCAGATATGATAATGCAGTTCTCTCTTCTGTGATGGACTCCATTCCAAAGTCCCCCTCCTACTGGGGACACTACTCAGGAGTCACCAAGAGTGGAGCACTCATAGGGACACTACTCGAAGGTTACTCACCTGTGCAGTAACTGTGGTTCTTCTAGATGTGTGTTCCTACAAGTGCTCCAGTACCTACCCTCTTTCCCCTCTTCTTTGGAATTTCCTCCGAGATTCAGTAGTGCAGAAGGAACCAAGAGAGTGGTTTCCCATACAGCCTCGGTGCAGGGCAAAAGGATACCAGTGGTTCATGCGTGGGCTGAATGGACACTGCTAATGAAAATCTCCAATCAAGGCACATGCACCAAGAGTGGAACACCCATAGGGGGACACATCTCAACAAACCACACTGCATTGGGTGAGTAACCTCTTCTCACTTCTTGGAAATGGGCCATCCTGATTATCACTACAAAAGTTTTTTTTTCTCCTGCTGATAATAGCCCACCTTAACTGATTACTCTCGTTATAGTTAGTATGACAACACCTATTTTTTCATGTCCTTTGTGTGTGTATATATATATCTTCCTACTGTATTTTCCACTGCATGCATCCGATGAAGTGGGTTTTATCCCACGAAAGCTTATGCTCAGATAAATTTGTTAGTCTCTAAGGTGCCACAAGTACTCCTCGTTCTCTTC